ATCATCCAGGTGGATGCTGCACACTGGTGGTGGATGAGGAGATACCCCCTGACAATGTAAAGCGCTTTGAGTGCCTAGAAAAGCACTATATAAATGTAATGAATTAATTATAATTATTACATATGCCATGTCATGCCATAGCATCATTAAACTAGCATCTAACAATGGACAAAAGTGTTTTTTCCCTCTAACCTATGGTTCTCTAACAATAAAGGCTGCTTTCCCCTGACTAAGCATTTAAAGAATTTAGGGGAAGCATTTAAATAATCCTGTGAATGCATTTAAAGAATGCAGAATCGAATCGTTAATCGAATTTAATTGTGAATCGAATCGTTCTGAATTTGCAAAAATTCGTTCTTGAATCGAATCGAAAACCTTTGAATCGTGAATCGAATAGATTCGCTGTCTACCCAAAGATTCACAGCCCTACCAAATTCTCAATAAAACTTTTTTCATTGATATATATTTTTCAGTTTCTGTTGTCAAACAACGGGATGAACATAAATAGTGACTGAAACGCGGTCCATTAAAACATACACAACCATACATATCTAGCACTCCCTTTCAAGATGTTAATCTGCTGCACAAAAATCCTGATTTATAATCGAGCCGTCGTCTGATGAAACCAATTACACATTAGATAAAGACAATGCCTGTGCTGTGATTTCAGCAATATTTGCAGGTAAAATTAGAGTTAGAAGAAGCAATAGAATAGATATTTTAACTGAAATCGCAGCTCCTCTTAGTGCTCGCCGAACAGAACAGAGCAGACACAGAGAGAGAGGTATGAGCACGCTAGTGCAGCAGTACCGGTGGTGTGCAAATTTCGGCACTACACCGGCGAGAAGAAGTCACTAGATTTGTCGCTTGGCGCTTTTTTTTAAACCGCTAAAGGGGTCTGAAAAATCGCCACTGGCTGCAGTGACGATGTAGTTACGCTGACGTGAAGCTCAAGCTCGCGCTGTGAAACAGGCGTCATTCTGTGATATTAAACCACGTCTAACGTTAGTCACGAAAATAATTTATTTCAAACACTCGACTGATGTTATGCACTGAATTTGGAGTAAAAGTATGTCAATAAATCTCTCTGTTGGACAACAGGTTTGTAAACATGCTCATACATGCAGAACTCTATCGCAAACATGCGACTGTAGTACGTTGCATTTATTCATTGCACAGCCCTGACCAAACCAGTTCCAGACAGTGTTGCTAACTAATTTTCAGAGAAAGTTGCTAAAGGAAGGTCGATTTGTTGCTAAAAGTTGGTAAATGAGGTTGTGATGTCATTGCGCAATGACGTCATTGCGTAATCACGACGCAAAATTGTCACATCATCAAATCTCAGCAAAAAATATATTTTATATATGTTAATTTAGATTTGTTTGTAAAATAATATGCATGATATAATATTAAATTATAAATAACTGTATTTTTAAATACATTGAATTATTGAAAACGTACACATTGCTAAATTTAGCAACAAAATTGCTAAGTTGGCAACACTGGTTCCAGATTGTAAATGCAGCGCCTCATTTGATAAACTCCTCCTCAGTTTTACGTCCGCCTTCCGCCATATCACTCCGCGTTTGTCGCACACAAATGTGTCAACAACTAGATTATCGCTGGAAGACTAATTTTTTATCGAGGGGAGAATTTAGATGAGAAGGCAACCGAGAATAATAAAAGACCAAAGATATAAAAAGAGAAGAAAATGTTAGGAGAAGCCCACCCTTCTCTTTTTTGGTTCTAGTGTCAATGAGTCCAGCTTTGGAGCTTCCAAGAGCCACCAGCCACTTCTGCCTCTCCGCTGCATTCACTGCCTTCACGTAAAAATGCTGCTCCCCTGGTATGATCAGCTCCAGCCGCGTGCTGTCAGTTGTGTGAACTGGAGCAAACATGAGGAAGTCAAAAATTACATAAGAATAACCAGTATAATTTCTCGTCAGGATAGAAGGAAGATTTTACCGATAAGATACTACGATCATCTCACCTTTAATTTCACATACTGACATCTTAATACTGCCTTTGCTACCTTTGCACACATCATCTTGCGAATCATAGTATGAAATAATGCCATTGTCCAGCACAAACCACCTTGGCTGCCATCCTATCATAAAATAAAGTATTATCAGATGACAAAACACATCCAAAAAGCGATTATAAATTTGAGGTTTACGACTAGATTTGTTACAACTCTGCATACAATCAGGTATCATAACATCACATGACATGACAAGTTGGGAAGTTTGACAGGATATAGCCTATTACTCTAATTCTTAACATGGAATTTTGACATTGCAAAACATTGCAAGCACACAGCATTTAAAAAAGAAGCAATGCAAAAAGCATTACAACACAAAACAACAAAGTTGCATGCATCAGCAGCTCTATTTTTTATACAGACGTAACGATACAGGCTTAATACATCTTGTGCATACTTGCAGTGCTGTCTTACTGCAGTTTAAGTGTCTACATGTCAGTGCCATTCACTCTTACCTGTCATATAGTTTGTCCATTTGTAAAGCACTCCTTCCATTATTCTCAAAGCAGAAAATCCCTTTATAGCAGCTTGCACCAGGCAGCTGCTTGTTTGCCCCTTTTACAGGCTAATTAGCATGCTAGCATGCTCTAGGCTAACTCAAAGATCCACAGCTACTCATCATGTCAAAGAACGGGCGGATCATAAGGACACGGGGGAAAAAACCTTTGCTTTCACGGTCATTTCTGTGGAGACGCCACGCCGCACATGCTGGGAGATTCTACCAAAGGGAGAGACGGCTCAAGATTTGGGATGAGCTCACTGTTTACTAGTGATGTGTCGTTCGTGAACGAGCCGGCTCTAAGAGCCGATTCTTTGTAATGAACGAGAAGAGCCGACTCCCGTCGGGGAGAGCCGAATCTTCAGCCGGAGCCTTCTATTTTAACCCAATTTAGCAATTGTGAATGGTTTGTGTGTTGGTAAGCAATTTTTTTATTCGGTGTTTTCATAAAAGACTTATTTTTATGCATTTTTTCGTTACAAAAAAAAAAAAAAAAGGTACACAGAACGACAGAGAGAGATGGGGGAGCCCGATTGGTTAAGGTAGGAAGACACTGCATTGTTGCAACATCGGTCTCAGAGAGAGTCTTCTCAAAAACAGGACAAATAATCACAGAGAGGAAAAATCGCATCAGCACATCCAAGCTGTGGCATCTGATATTTCTGAATGCCAACCTGCACTAAAGACTAAAGTGTCTTAATGTTAAGACTTTTGCCTTTATTTATTTGATTTGTTTGCTGTGATTTTTTTTGTAACGAAAAAAATGCATAAAAATAAGGCTTTTATGAAAACACTGAATAAAAAAAAATGCTTATTCACAACTGCTAATTTGGGCTAAAATAGAAGGATCCCAGTGATACTAAATAAAGAGTCATTTGGGAGCCATAAGAGCCGGCTCTTCTAAGGGAGCCGAGCCAAAAGAGCCGAATCTTTGAAAAGAGCCGGACTTCCCATCACTACTGTTTACAGACTGAACCGGAAGAGGCGTTTTATTTAGAGATTCTTCTCTGTCTAGCCACTCCACTGTAATATGGAAAAGACAGTGAAGGCCATTCGAAGGCACTACATATAGTACATACTAATTACAGAAAATCACCAGTGACAGTGAAATGTCTTGAGGACAAAAAAAAATTTTTTTTTTTTTAAACCGTGCACATCCCAAAACCCCGAAGGCTCCTACTAGAAGGGGTCAAAATAGAGCTTTAATCAACTATAAAAGTAAATAAATAAATTGTAATTCAGTTGTATTATTTATAAATTACAATTCTCTAGACAGTTACCTATGGCTATGATTTTATTAATACAGTTGTCTGATTGATTTTATAGTCACAGAAAGTTTATAGAAAGTTTATAGAAATCACACAAAATAAAATTAAGCAGTTTTACTACGATAAAACCATGGTTAATTTTGGTAAGGGTTGTGATGTCCACGTGTTTTTGTTGAAGAAATTAAAGAGGCTGTCGCATTTCTATCACAAAAAAGGTGGCCAAAAATTAAAAATTAAGTGGATATTTGAATTAAATGTTTGGTCAATATTAAACAAGAATTTGATCAGCAATTATCAGGCCTTTGGTGCCCTTTGCATGGATTTGTAATAATGTAAATTGTTTATTTTGTATTACATTATGTATTTTAACAGTGTTATTCAATGAAACCATATTTAAACCATATACAATCCGGAATGCGCTGATGTCTTTTCCCTGATATAGCCTAGTTGTCTATTAATTGTGATGATCATTTGTATTCAGCCGCAAGTAGGCTATGAGGTGAGAGCGAGCGCGGGCTTAAATACTGCCTACTGCGTTCATCATAAAATGCATTTTTTATAATTA